GTCTCCTTCCCTAACTTTACCAATAAGTTCTAAAACACATTGAACACCAGATCAATCAATCCAAATCGGTGGCACGACATGAAACTTTTGGTTGTGAAAAATAAATTTTTGTATGTTTCATTGCACCCATTGGTTGGGCATATTAAAAATATTATAGGATATGGTCGTTGGTTGAGCAGGTCAAACACAAACTCTGTTTTTTCTGAATTTGTTGCTCCTACAATAAGAAGATGTTCTTCCTAGTATTTTTTATCTATTAAAGATAAAGTTTTATTTATTAGTGTATATGTAAGAATATTCTCAAAATGCAAAACTCAAGCCCACCACTTGCTCCTATACCAAACATTTATCAAGCAATGGATTAACTTTACAGTAACAGGAAAGTGGCTCGAGGACGTTGATTTTTTTAAAACAAGCTGTGGTATTACCATTGCATAATATCAAAGAGCTGCAATTATGGGAGGATTAATAGGTTGGTATGTTACAAAAAATGAACGTTTTTAAAAAAAAACACAGAAAGTCAGCCTTCCGCAAACCGGCCGGATGTCACTAACAGTTTTTTTATTTTTTTAAATTTTTGCGTTTTTATTTTTATTTTTATAATGAGCAAAGCTTTGTTTTACTGGTTAACAATATAGATGCATATATTTAATTGAGCATAGATGCAGCTATATCACAAATTATTAATCTTGAAGCAACAAGAGCATAATCTTATGCTCAGGCATAAGCTCAGGAACTACATAGTAAAACTAAGGATTAGGGAAGGTGGATACCAAAACAAGATATATATATATATATATATATATATATATATATATATATATATATACATATATATATATATATATATATGTATATATATATACATGTATATATATAAATACATACATACATACATACATAGGCGATTCTGTATGTATGTATACATATATAAATACAGAGGCATATATATATATATATATATATATATATATATATATATATATATATATATATATATATATATATATATATATATATATATATATATATATATATGTATGTATTTGTGTGTGTGTGTGTGTGTATGTATATATACATATATATATATATATATATATATATATATATATATATATATATATATATATATATATATATATATATATATATATACATATATGTATATATATATATATATATATATATATATATATATATATATATATATATATATATATATATATATATATATATATATATATATATATATATATATATATATATTGAAATCTGATTTTTCAAGAACGAATTAATTTCAAGTATGTTTCTTGCATTACACTTTAGTCAGACCAGATTTGAAGTATAACTTGAAATTTCAAACTCACATTCAGAAAAGATTTTTGGTTTCTAAAGTTGGTTTTTTAAGTTTAACTCAAAAACGGCCGGTTTTCAATTATAGCTTGAGTTCTTGAGTTCAAGTTCGCTCTTTGCATTTACTCAAGTAAAATTTTAGACTTAAAGTATGACTTCAAATTTCAAGTTCGCTACTTGTATTCCACCAGTAAGTTCAATGCATTTTTTGTTATTAATTTCTTTGGTTTCATGTTTGCAAAGTTTATTTATATATTGTGGATATATTATTAAACGTTTGTGTATTGTGTTTTTTTCTGACTGGACCCAAAAAAACTTTTCCAATACGAGTGTCACCATCAACAACGATATTGGCTGAACAATAAAGAGCAAAGGCTTTGTCAAATGGATTAGATATAACATCGAAAAAAGTAAAGTCTTGAGATAAAAAAAGCAATTGAAAATAAAAAGAAGGGTGATAGAGTGAAGTGGTGCAAAAGCACATAAAATAATAGTCCGTAGATTCAAAGTTTCCAGACAAATTGATGAATTCTTACGAATTTAAATGCTCAGCCCAGGCATGTGACTATTAGAGTCTTACCGAACTAAAGAAAGATAACCATCAACACTAAGATCACAAGATGAGTCAGTCGAACTCAAACTAGTCTCACCAAGAGCAAGTAGGTCTGGTAAACTTTGCAAGAGATAAGACACAACGGAAGGAAAGTTACTTCATAGACCACGGATATTAGTAAATGAAAGATTTAGAGAACTTGGTGATCACGATAGTTTTTTTTGTTTTATGATTTAGTCATTTTATAAATTGGTTAAAGAACTTGATTCAGCCTCTCTGGGAGCTACCATTGAATTCGGGAAACTTGATTACCAGCCGGCCTCAGAATCATAAAACTGAGTTTTAGAGTTGTACCCTCATTAGGAGATAATAGAGTGAGTTGTCTAGTCATAAAAACAGAGACAAACTCAAAATCTATGCAATGAGTCAAAAAAATCTAGCATTCAACATCATGAACTGGAAGCAATTATAAATTATATCTGGTGTAAATGTTTTATAAATACATTTACACCAGCATAGTAGATGAGGAAGCGGTGCAATCCAGCTAGCGCACATATTTTGAGAAAACATTAGAATAATGTTGCGCGTTATGTTGGCCAAACAACCAAAAAACAACGTTGGCCCAACGTAGTATTTTAAGTCGGCGTTGCGTAATATTTAAATTATACAAATATATATTTCTATATTTGCCTTTTAGATCCAAAAAACAACTAACTTTTACGATATTTTTACATATGTTGGACCAATGTAATATTTTTAACTTTTTTTAACCACATCGTTATGAGGTTTTTATTAATAAAAATACGATTAAACTATCATTGGATCAACGTTGTATATGCATCGGAGAAAACAGCAATGAAGTTACATACGGTGGCCCAACATAAGTGCGCTAGCTGGGAAAGCAGGTCATTAGATAGAATCTGTTTACTCCTTAAATATATATGTTATGTATATAATATATAAGGAACTTCAAAAACGTTATATTTTGTATTTGAAAAATTGAAAACGGTTCAAAAATAAAAAAATGTGCAAGTGTAAGGATTTGAACCAAGTCGATTTAGTTAAAAAATAATACGAGCTCACCACTTTGGCTATTAAGGCGTAATGCTCGTCAAAGGTATTATCATTATTTAATAGACAAAAAACTTTATAAAACAGCAAATAAAATGCTATAAATCAAATAAGATTTTGCCGAAATCATGTGAGATTTATAAGTCTTTTTAACAACTTTTTTAACTAATAAGTTGTAAAAACATGTTATCACTTAGATATTGCTATGACTGGGGATGGGGTAGCCTTGCGCCCAATTTTTCTAAAGCATTTTAAACAAAATGTAAAAATATATTAGAACTGTATAGAGGTTTTTCCGACTTAAAAAAAAAATTCCCTTAATTCTCCAGCTTTCCGACTGAAGGTACAAAAAGTTCTTAACTTACCGACTAATGGTATAAAAATTCATTGATTGAATTTTTGTATATTTTGTTGTATATTGCTACCCTCTGTATCTTTGGGAACAAAAACCGCTACCGCTTTCCTCTGCTTTATCAAACTTTTTAATTAGTAGCGCTTGTCCACAACTAATCTGCTTCCAAATAATATTAAAAAAAACAAACAAAAAAAACTTACTACCCTCCTCTCCCACTTTGAGTTTTTGATATTCATATGGGATGATATAAAGTGGCGCTTTTTTGTTATTTTACATTTTTGTAAGCAATTATTCCCTAATCATGCATCTTTTTACTCTATCAGTTGTGTCACCTACTATGCTATATTCATGGTTGATGTAGCTGACAACTGGCAGCTTGTAATAAAGATGTGAAATAAGAATGGAAATACCGTTCACATTTGAACGTTTTTCGAAAATATATCTTGTTATATTCATATTCAGCAAAAAATACATAATTCTCTAATCAATAGGTATTTTACCGAATAGAATTCTCTAAGCAATAGGTGTTTTATCACAAAGACAAGGAGTTTAAACTGAGTTGCCCCAGGAAGACATCTGAGATTATTGTGGAAACACAGGATAACATTAATATTTCGAAAGATTTATTTTTCTTCCACTTCATTTTCAGTAAATGAAAAAGTCAAGTATAAAAGTCTGAAACCTAAAACATTATATTCGTTTTAACATTTCACGTTTTAAAATTTTCATAACTTAGATATTTGAATACGCTTTCGTTCACATATTCTTATAAAAAAGTTCTGCGACTATCTCTCGAATGTAATGGCTGCCGTGAGTTTTGTGTCAAACACTCACAAATACGCGTTATTAAGTTAAGAAATATATTTTCAACACATTTCGAATTAGACAAAATGATATAGTTTCTGATTAGGTTAAATCGATATAAGTTAAGTATTTTAAATCAGTGTGCTTCATTTTTCTTACAACTAAGTAAAAACTAAAGTTTCAATTAAATTTTTGAATGTCAATAAAGTTATTATTGGTTGTGTGCAAGTACACTGTGACATTTTTAACTTTTTTAAACCTTTATCATGGAAATTTAATGTTACATCAGAAAATCAAATATTATGCACATATGAACGTCTGTGTAATATATATATATTTACATTTAAAATTATTTTTAAAATTATATTGGGGATGGTCCGTAGTTTACGTAACGCTAAGTTTATTTTAAAAATAGAATTAGAAGATTTTGAGCTCTTTTAGGCTGGAAATGAGCTTGATGCGCAATTTCGATTTTTTGTTCAACTTAAGGCACTGCTAGGGAAAACCTCGTATCTTTTTTGTTTTGTTTATTAGTGAAATTTAGCTTTGCGTAATTTATGGACGATCCCTTAAGGGATCGTCCATAAATTACAACACTTAAGGTCTTGGGTATTGACATTCTTCTAGAGAAGCCGTTCATGCTTTATCATCAAATTAATTAAAAAGTTTTGTTAAAAATTTCAAAACATAAAAGCCTTATTTAACTCTATTGCTTGTATAACAAAGGGATTTAACATTACTATTCAACCTAGGGGTATCTTGCCATACCCTATCCTAGTAAATACTATTAACATATAGCATATTTCAAATGTTTAGTTGATAATAATTTTGCTTCATTAAAATTATCTTTGTTTTATTTTGAAGGTTCACCAATTCAAAGCCAAAGTTATCTTATATTGACATATACAACTTTTTTTGGCGATCCGTTTCCTATACAACCTTCATCTGAATGCGGTTTCAACACTTCTAACTTCCAAATAACAAATAATAAGGAACAAATTAACAGTAGTAATGTTGTGATGTTTCACTCGCGCAATATGCCATCCATACAAGAGTTAGAACGCATTAATAATTTGAGACGAAAAGACCAACTATGGATTTATTTTACAATGGAGTCTATATACAATAATCCAGGTGTTGATAATATTGACAAGTACTTTAATGCTTCCGCAACATATGGAGTCGATACCGATATACCGTTCCCTTACAGATATCATAAAAAACGCTTAGAAGTTGATGAAAGCTATAACAAAGATCGTTTTTTAAACAAAACAAGAATGGTTGCTTGGACTGTGAGTAATTGTAACGGTGATGCTAGAAACAAACTTGCATTGAAGTTGATATCGTATGGTGTCGATATTGAGGTTTCAGGAGGGTGCGCGGGAAGATTTCCAAAGCGTTTTTCATCAAAATGTCGAGGAAGACCTTGTTATGAGGACCTACGCGATTTTAAGTTTTATTTTTCTGCAGAGAATTCATTATGCGATGGTTATATCACAGAAAAGTACTGGAGTTCTGGAATTGATTTTGACGTAATACCTATAGTTCTAGGAGGGTCCAACTATTCTGATCCAAGATTAGCAATTCCAGGTTCTTATATTGACGCTATGAGTTTTGATTCTCCTAAAACCTTAGCTGATTATATTTTAGACGTTAGTTCAAATTCTACAAAATACAACTCTTTCTTTGAGTGGAAAAAACATTGGCAGTTAGATAGCTCTAGTTTTTTTTGCATGCTTTGTGATAAATTAAGAAATGGTATTAGTTTTCGAACAAATCCTTTATTAAAGACAATGAATAGAGAAAAATGCACTCGACCACAAGAAAAGTTTAACATTTGGATCAATCGAAACTAAAAAAAAAAAATTAATTAAGATTAAACAAAATACATGAGTAAATCTTGATCTTCCCAGTGGGCACTCGTTGTCCGGAGTACATCCGCTGGACGTCCCATAGACGTCTAGCGGATGTACACCGGACGACGGAGATGTTGCAATATTTTTAAACATGGGATGTTACTGTAAGCTATTAAAAAGTTTCAATTAAGACTATTGATGTTTTATACTTTCATATTTAAAAAATGTGAAATGAAACTTTTCCATATTTGAACGCAGTTACAAACATAGAGAAGTTTTTTTTCATAAATTTACAAGATAGCGCTCTTTTGGAGTTTTCTTGAAATTGCGATTTAAATAAAATGCAACGTTTTTTTAAAACGTTTTTTTTGCGTAAAAACAACTTTATAGCGACAAACCAAAGTTTAAGTATGTATATTAACAAATAACAAATATTTTTTATTAATTATAAGCATTAATTTAATTTAAGTACTAAAAAATTGTTTAAATTAAACTTTTCTGTTTAAAATATTTTAAACAAGAAAATGTTACATAGGATAAAAATATAAAGAAAAAAACGCGCGAAAATTTCTCTTTGATCTTTATAGCAGCTAAAGATACACAAAGATGTAGAATAACTAAATAAATTTAGTTGATATAGTGATAAAATTAAATCTCTATCCTCTTAAGACCGTAAAAAAAACAACAACTATATACAAATATTAATAATTATTCAAGCCCTGATAACATTAGGTTAACCAATGCATTGGTTATCCTAGCTGTCATCAGCCGCATAAATGACTTATTTTTTATAGTCTACCGCAGATGTAAAAAAAAATGTATTTTCAAATTCTTTTCAAGTTGACGTCTTGTTCCGTTTAAATATTGCGTTTAAACTAGGTTTTTTTTATGTCTTAAATAGATAAAAAGTTTTAATGCCTGAAAAAATACGACATTTAGTTGTTACAGTGTAGTCACATACACATTCATGTCATTCATTATAAATGACACACGTCACTCATAATAAATGACGTGTGTCATTCATTTCTTCCTTTTTTTTCGTTTTTTGTTGATATTTTTTTATTTGTTTTATAACTTCAAGATAAATTTATATATAATGGTAATATAATAACAAGAAATATTTAGCATTAAAAAGTTAGATAATGTACAACGAAAAAATACAGAATCAAGACCGGCGCGATAGGGTAGTGCGGGGGGGGGGATGACACCTCCCCCCACATCAATGATTTTTAGTCGGCAAATTTGACCCTTAGTCGTCAAATTTGACCCTTTTTGACTAGTTAGTCGGCAAATCGCGAGGTTAGAATTATTTTGTTTTATCTCCATGTTTTTCCGAATTGAGAAAATTAAATTCAAAGTTTTAAATGAACTTGCAGACCAAATAACATAAAAAACGCAAACAAAACCGATTTTTATCAATTCCCCATATAAGCTACCACAGTTTAAAAGAATTTGTTTTAAAATATTTAAATTGCAGGTGTCTTATTTACTACACCTTGATTTGGAGATAGAACAATGTAATACACACTTTTTTTGTAAAATACAGTATTATTTTGTTTTATCTCCATTTTGTGTAAAAAAACATATTACAAATTAATATATTGTTGCAAGATGAATTTATATTTTGGCAATAAAAGTACTCTAAGGTACATATTTGCTTTATTTGAAAAAAAAAAATTATTTTACACAAGTGAACAAACTACATGAATACGTTATTTTGTCAAAACAGAGAAGATAAATAATATATTATCTTAAGATCTTTACAATGAAATAAAACGTAAATTATAAATTCCAATAACATAACATCTAAAGTACATTGCACAGTAAAATGATATCTCAAATTAGGCAAATCAAGCATATCTGGTTAATCCATTAAAAATATAACATTTCAGAAAGAAGTCCATTTAACAACATAACATATAATACAAATATTTAGACAATAAAATAAATTATTTTAAAATACTTTTATAAAATGCAACGTCTACAGCAGACATATACTTGAACATACTTTTAAGGTCCTTGGCTTTATCACTAGAAATTTGAGCACACTGATTCAAGGCAGAAGCCATTGGTACAACTGCCAGAGGTCTTGTTATCACAGATGATAAAGAGCGCGGATTGTTAGGAAGACGCCTAATTTGTGCTTCTGAACAAACATCTGAAAACGACTTTCTGTAATATACATGATCTGAAAACTCTGCTCTGTAAACCAGATGCTTTATCTGGCTATAGGGAACAAGCTTAAAATTGAAATAGCTTGCAATAGCTGAAAAATGTTTGAAATCCAATCTTTTCATTTGGTAGACAAAAAAAGAATTTCTTCTTTGAACAGCAGAAATTGCTCTGGTTAAACCTAAAGGACTAAATATTTCAAGAAGAGCAAGTGCTCTGTCAATTTGACTGTGGATATTGTCAACCTCTTGTATAATAGAATGTCCTGGTTCACAAAACTTTTGCTCAATTACTCTAATTTTTGGGTAACATATCAAAAACTGACGCAAGGCAATCGACATGTGACTATTTCTGTTTTGAGGCACACAGGAATCGAACCATAGTATGAGTTTATTAACATCAGAGTGGTCTGCAATTATCTTTTCTAGCAAGCATGTTACACTACTTGCAAGGTCATTGCCTGCACGACCCGAAACACCTTCATGCCAAAGCATACAATAACCTTTTTTATTTATGGAGCAATGCCCAGTTAAATTATAAGCTGAAAATTTTCGTTTGTAAAAAAATGCTCCCACATTTGATTTTGGTAAACTTATTACATTTTCAAGGTCAATACATACTACAGCCACATTTTTATCTATAATTTTGCGGTCTTTATCTCGTTCTGCTTTAGTTTCATTCTTAGAAATAATGTGTTTGGTAAACTTTTGGGTTTGTTCCTCAGTTGGATTTACTAGATTGCGGTATTCATAGCATGTATCACATAAATCAGTTTTTGGCTTCTGAAATTCAATGTTAAAGTGATGATCAAATATGAATCTATACAAATGCTTCTTAACAGGGGCAATATTCTTTTCTTCACAATAGATTAAGTAAAGTTCATACATCTTATTAGAATTTAAAAAAGCTTCAAAATGTTCTTTTTCTGTTCTTTGACGACAGTAGTGTGATGGAACACGTGGAAATGCATTGATATGATCTGTAACGCTTTGTTTTGATGATTGATCTATAACCTTTTTGGTGTGTTTCCCCCATTTTGAAAGGGCTGGGCTTCCAGTAGTATCATTTTTTTTTCATGATGATAATAAACTCTTCTACTACTTATATTTAAAGTTGTGAGGTAAAATTCTTTACAAACTCAAGTTTGCAAATCACCAACAAAAAAGCTATAATAAAATGAATACGCTTTTCGCGAATTTTCATTGATGACGTTTCTTCTGAAGTCGTTCAGTGGTTCGACTGTATTAATGTCTCTTTTGCATGTCGTCCATAGACCAAAAATCAGCAAATATACGTGTTCTTTCTTCATCACTAATATTTTGTGCGCAACTGAATTTACAAGAATTTAGACAGTCTTTCTTTTTGGTTACAGACTTGCATGGAACATTTTCTCCCTTTTTATTTTTATACGTCTGACCAGATTGTCTTAGCTGCTTTCTCACATTCTGTGCCCAAGTTTTAGGTGCTGACTTTGGTTTCCTAGTTTTTCCCCAGGCAGACGACGAGCTGTTGTTATTTCAGGTGTATCATTGTAATAGCGAAGAACAGTCAGATCAGTTTCTGAAACAAAAACAAAAAAAGTATACATATATATATATATATATATATATATATATATATATATATATATATATATATATATATATATATATATATATATATATATATATATATATATATATATATACATATATATATATATAATATATATATATATATATATATATATATATATATATATATATATATATATATATATATATATATATACATATTTTTATATACATATGAACAATAACATATCTTACCTTCAAAGTTTTGTTGTTGTTTTTCTGTAATAAAAACTTCCGCAGCTGCCATTTTGACGTAAATAACTTTTGATTGGATAAAATGGAGATAACACATTATAATTTTAATTTATAAACAAGATTAAGGAAATAGAACAAAATGCAATGTCAGGTATAGTATGTTAATTTTTTTATTTTTTACTGATTTTTTTGTAAAAAATAAATATTTTATCTATGAAAAGCAAAAAAATTAATCTAACTCAATTTTTTTGATTTGTGGAGATAGAACAAAATAATTCTAACCTCGCGAAATGTCGACCCTTTCAATATAGGTTAGTCGGTAATTTAGACAGTTAGTCGACAAATGTCGTCATGGTAGTCGGCAAATTTTCGAAAACAAGGTAGGGTTGTTAACCGGAGGATTTCGTGCAATTCCGGAAAAACAACATTCTTTCGTAAGGAGATTGAGAACACGGAATTACATTTTTTCGTACCGAATGTTACAAAACGTTTAAAATCGCCGATGTACATTTCGCAAAAGCCAATTCCGAAATTTAGCATTTCGCAAGTTGACATACGAAACAAAACTATTTCGCAACATACGAAAGTAGCGGTTTCGGAAGTCGCACTTGCGAAACAAACATTTTCGCCAAACGACGTTTTGAAGTCTATAAAGAAAATTTGTTTGCCAGACTGATTTTAATTGTAAAAATTAACATCTTTAAATCCCAAAATGTTTATAATGAATTTTTATTTTCAGTTTAATAACATATTAAATTTTTATGGTTTTATTTTTAGAAATATTGATAAAAAATAAAATTTCTTTCGAAACGAAAGTATTTCGGATCACAACATACGAAAGAATTCTTAACGGAAATAAACTTACGAAACGAGCCATAATAAATATATATAACGATGTTTTTTGAACTCATTACGTATATTAAAAATAAGAATGATAGGTAGGAATATACATGTTTTGTTTTTTTAAAGCATATAAAATTTTTGAAACAGGTTCAAATATGCTTAAGCAAATAGTAAAAAGAGGCTCAAAAATATGCTTTAGCTTAAGCATATTTCTGATAAAATATACCTATTTCAATAATTTCTAAAAGTGTAAAGTTCTAGCAGATTTTAAAGGTATGTAGAGTCCTGTTTGAATACGCTTTTCGAAGTATAGATCTTAGAAAATATTGTTTTTTAATTTTAATAAGATATAAGTTTGAGTATAAGATTGTA